CCCCAAAACCCCAAAACCCCAAAACCCCGTCATTCCTAATCAATAAATATTTTAAGAAATAAAATATAGTTCGATTATTAAATTTAAGACTTAGAAATATTTCTCAAGTTTATAAAGTGAATATTCACTATTATATAACAAAAATCTCTCATTAATATACTTTCACAAATTCATAACTTTTATTCCTTTTGACACTTTGGATTGTTCATTCTGTTTGCTATTTTTGCGTACTTTTCCAATCTATGCGAATAATCTGGTTGTAATTAAATATTTTTGGTACTGTGACTGCTGCTTTATTCGCGTGATGATCTATAACTAAATATTCCTTTTTAATGATTATTCGCTTCTTAATAATCTATAAAATTGTAAGAGTGAAGCTCTAACTATAGTCTCTTATCTTTTAAGATTTTATGATTCTATTCCTGCATATTTCTTTATACTTCAGGAAGATACTTGGCAACTATCTTGCTATTATTTTCTGCTTCGCTCAGTCTCTGCATTGCTAAGGATTGCTATTTCTATTTTATATGCGCATTACTTACATAATTTTATGCTACTTATTAGTATACATTCCTTATTTTATTTAGCTCTACTTGCTTCAACTTCATTTAATATCGAATTTGCTTTTCATAAATATTTTATAAATCATCCTTCTTGGCTTTAGAAATGTTTTACTAGTCTTATGAATGACGTGCTGAGACTTCAGTTAAACTATTCTGCTTCCTGAATTACTACTCAATAGAGTTAAGTTAATTTCGCATTTTATTATTTTTATTGGCAAAGGAGTTGTCATTAGTAATTATATTTACTATTGAAGGGTGTATTTGGCTGCTCTCCCTCTATGATTATAATCTTGTATCCACTCGCTCCCTATATTGTTGAAATTGCTTATACTCGTCAATAGTCAGTTTCCTCATTCTTTTTAAAGCTGATTGATCCTCATCTTCCTCATTTGTCAGCAGATCATCTCCAACATGGCCAGGATATCTTCCTCTATTAGTTGATTCTCTGTTAAAATGAACCTATTATTTTTCAATGTGTCTATTTGTATCTAAATTACTGCAGTGTTCATCTTCTTCAAGCCCTACTTCTCTGTCTAAGTCTATCAAGGAAATTTTCAATTAAGGTTCTCTTTAGTTTCTTTAAGAATCCATGTTCTCCATAATTCGAAAGTCAACTAATTCACTCTTGTTCATTTCTATTGATTATAATCCTTATTTATTGTTTGTTAATATGCTTTGTTAATTAAGTGAACTAAGATCCTTATTATTTGCTATTTATTAGAATTTAAAAGATAATTTCTATTTCAGTTTATATATTTTATAAGACTTCTTGATATTTCGATGATCACCATTGAATATATCAAGCACCCTGAAAATCTCAATTTTATCGTAAACTTCATCATCTGGGAAGAAGAATCTCACATCCTCAAACATTTCTTATAACTCTTCCTCACTGAAATATTCCATAAGCATTTGATTAATGTCAGAATCATGATTATTATTTTTAAAGGAAAATGACTCATTTTAACTGTCATAACTTACAGAAGAGTTATGCTAGTTTCGATGCGATTAAATTGATTTATAAGGATCTTATGCTAAATTTTGATTGCTTTTATATTTGGAAAATAATGCATTTTACTTGTCCTAAGTTGCAGGTTCAGATTGATATGGATCTAACCTATTATTTCAGCTAAGCCTTGATTTTCCAATTAAGTCTATTTTCATCTTATACTCGCACTGATGCTTCCCGTGAATCTTGCATTATTATTCTTCTCTTGTAGCTTTCTAAACTAGTTAGTTTACACGAGATCTAAGTATTTTCTTTTTCTAATGAATTTTCGCCTACTCCTTCCTGTTTTTATCTTCTTCTATTAGCTTTTTAGTGATTGTTGTAGCTATAGATTTTCTAAGCAATCATCGCAACTTTTCAAAGTTTTAGAGTTTAAAAATCTTTTACACTGAATGAATCTTTTATTGGTTTTGATTATTCTCAGAACTATGGGATGTTTGCTATTTTTCATTAGTGCTTGTCTGCTGCTAGTCTGGCTTATTTATTTTAACCTTTGGTGAATTGCTATTACTATTATCAAAGCTAGTTTATTTTTATTCATTTTAAGCCCTAAATATCTAGCTTCTACTATTTACAGATTTTATTTTGGTATGCGTTCCATACCTCTTGATAACATAGTTTTCTTGCATTTCCATATCATGCTGCTTGCGTAATCTCTCATTAAATGACATGCTAGTTTCATTAATAGTATTCCTGCTTTTTAGAAGTGCTCCTACAGTACCCTTTTTAAAATAATCCTAGCGAATTTTGTTCCGATTGATGATGCTCATAATCGGGTCATCCAAATCGATCTGATCTGACTTATCATTAGAATTTGGATCAAAGGGGTGTTATAAGTTTTGATAAGAGTTTAAGTAGTAAAGTTATTGATAATTCTCTGAATTGTATTTTGACATATATTTATATTGATATATAAGTTAATAATTAAATTAAATACATATAATTAAAATTAAACTATATCATTTTAGTAATGCAACGGCTTTGCTTCAAATTATATTCAAGCTTGTGCCTCACTCAATTTATAAACTTCTTTATCAGTAAATACATTCTTATACTTTCACAATCATCGATTGGTGTTTTATCTCATAGCATCAATGAAAAGTCAATCAATATTATTGATATTATTATTGTGATCGTATAAGATACTGTTAATTATCTCCTCAACTTAGGGATCGTCATCGTCTTAGTGTGCATTTGATGATAGCATGTTTGGCTGAGAAATAAAGCTCTAACCTGGGCCTAGCACTTAATGTTGAGTTGCTTATTCATAACCCCCTCCTGCAATTGATGAGCGATAGTTATCTAGGATATTCATATGGGGATAATTCCTCTTTTACTCTTCTCGTTATCTTAAAGGAGCATCTGGTCCGAGTCTTCGTCTCTAATAATTATTTCGAATCATATTATCAGCTGAAACTTAATTAGCTAAATCAATTATGAACAGATTTAATTTCATACTAATTGATAGTTATTGAGCTAAATTTGTCTAGGTATCAGAATATCTGGCGGTCTCGAAATCATTTGATGTTAATAAAGCTTATCTTGCTGTGAGTTAGTAAGGATTGCTGAACTATTAAATAGTCCCAAAATCTTCCTTCACAAGTTCAATCTTTATTTTATCATGAGCATTCTGCTCTTTTTCTATTTCCTCTAATTCTATCAGCTTATTTATTTCTTTGGGGAAAAATTCTTTGTCTTTTGCAATGTATTCATTTACTTGCTGGTTCTAATCAATAAAGCTACTATTAAGTTATAAATAAAAATTTGATACCTCATAATTTAGTTCTTCTATGCCTAGGGTTTCATACAGGAAAACATTTTTTTAAAGCAATTTTTTTCCTCCTCCTTAGATTAAGTCTATCTTATATTCTCAACTTTAATTATAGTCCTGCCAACTTAAACTCTTATATTTTTAAGGGCATCATCAAATTAGAAGGGCTTGTGTAAAAGTAGCAAAGTCCCAAATTTAGATTCTAAGTCTTCTAGGTAAAATTGATCATTCTTATACACTATTTGAGAATGAAGTCTAGAAACAGAAATATCTGGCACTCGCATATCTGTCTCATAAGCTCTCCCCTAATGAAGGTTGATTATTATATACGAAATATATATACTTACTACTTTAGTAATTTTCCTTTTAGAAGTGTAAACAACATGAAAAGTTTTAACTTTTTTACTTTAAAAAACACTTTGAAATATAATGTATGGATTATCTTCATTTGTCGGCTCTTCAAAATCAAATATCTTATATACTTTTCCATTTGATGCAACAACAGTATCAGGAAACTTTTGCATGCATAGCTCACATTCAATTATGGTCCATTAATAAGATGAAGTTGTTGCTGAAACTCTTGTTTCTCTCTTATTATTAAGCCATTCATTTATACACTTAACATGAATCATACTCATACTTCCAGAACACTTACATGGACTTACAAGCGGATTGCCTTATTCAATTTCATCTTCACTCAAGCAAATTCTACACATTTAAGCAGTTTGAGGACGTTTTAACTCTTTGAGGTTTAGTTTATCGCCATCTGTAGCCTCTTTAAAATTAACAGGGCGCAAATCAGGTGGTGCTTTGGAATTATTGTCATCATCCCAGTTCTCATAGTTCCTTGTTTGATAATTATCTCCTTCAGTCTGAGTGACATCAAGTCCTCCTTATACTGAAGTACTATGCTTTTAGTTGCTATTTACATTGGAATTCTTATTTGGTTTATAAATTTTTGAGATCTTATATGCTACTCTGCCGAACTTAATAATTTCACCTTGAGACAAAGGGTATCGACTCAAATGTTTTTCATCAATGACTTTCCTGCTTGAAAATTTCATTGCCCTTAAATCTAGATATTTAATGATAAACCAGACCATCTGTGATGCATCATCAAAACTATCATCAGTGAGCGATTTCTAGTGAAAAATGTAGTACTTCCCATTCTTATAACCCCCTTTCATCAAGACATCTTATTTAATTTATGGGTCATTGCTTTTTTCAATTTAAGCAGTTGGAACCTCTATACTCACATTAATGTCTTTTCTTATGCAAAAGACTACAAACATCAGTTATAATATAACAACTAATTTTACATTGCCCTGTTACTTTCAGATTCTGAACATTAAGTTAGGAGGATTCGTAATCATATAGACCATGAGAATCTCTAATCCATGTCTTTGCTTCTATTTTAAGTCTATACAAAAAAAGTTTAATCTCAATTTTAGAGGTGAGTGCTAGCCAGCCAAATTGAAGTTATGGCTTTTATGTATTTAAAAATACTTACGATTGGTGCTCCCTTAGAGGTTATTGCAAGATATTAGGATTTTGTTAGCGAGTCTAGAACATATTCAATAAAGATAAATGCTTACAACTGATTAGGAGGGTTTATGCTTGCTTTAATTTTAGTCCTGTAATCCAGTTTACGGATGTTTATCCATTGGAGATTATAATTAATATTTTATCAATATTATATTCGAAATATTGGCATTATTTCTGCTCTCCGGGGTTTTGGGGTTTTGGGGTTTTGGGGAGATCGGAAGAGCACACGTCTGA